CTTTTACTTTCTTCGTTAAGTTCATTCTTAGTATTTTATTCTTTGTGATTCTATTGCAAATGGATGATTTTCTTAATTTCCCTTTTGCATTGTTCATTGTTTGTGTATAGAAACACAACTGAAAGTTCTAAGTGTTGATTTTGTATCCTGCAACTTTGCTGAATTCATTTATTAGTTCTTAGAGTTTTTTGTGTGTGAAATTTTTGGATTTTCTATGTATACTATCATGTCATTTGCAAACAGATGTGATTTGAATTCCTCAGTTCCTATCGGGATGTCTTTATTTTTCTTGCCTCATTGCCCTGGCTGAGACTTCCATAGTACTAGGTTTAATAAAAGCGCTGAAGGCAGACATCCTTGTTTCTGATCTCAGAGGAAAAGCTTTCAGTCTTTCACTGTTGAGTATGTTGAGTACGATGTGTGATGTAACCTGTGGATTCTTCATATATGGCCTTTATTATGTTAAGGTAGTTTCCCTCAGTCGGTTTGAGGGTGTTGCATTTTGCAAAGTGCTTTTTCTGCATCAGTCGATATAATCATGTTTTATTTTCCACCACCCTGTTTGAATAAACCTTTCTTTTTCTGTATCCTCAGCCCTAACAGTGTTTGAAGAGGGCAAGGAGAAAGGAGGAGTTAGTTCAGCGCATTCACAAAACATTGTCTACCTCTTAATCCCCCTCCAGTGTAAACCTTTTCTGGGCACAGACTTCCACACATACACAGAAGATGCACAGTGAGCCCTATACCCAAGGCTCAGGACTGGCTGTTCGGAGAGTGTCAGACAACACAAGTCTTACTCTGATACCAATTATGACGTGTGAGTTTCCCCTCCATGGTACCTAGCAATTCTAGGATCTCAGCTGGGTGTCCCACAAATGAACTCAACTCAGACACTACCTACGTGGACACGGTGTCAGACCCACTGCCTACCGGTTCAGCCCTAAAACGCTGCCCTCCACTTCAGCTGCCAATCACCAGTCCAGGTTGCTCCCCATGCTTCTGATTGGCGGGCCATAAAATCGGAGGTTCCCATGACCCCTTCCCTTGAGTTCCATTAATTTGCTAGAGTGAGTCACAGAACTAAGAAAAACAGCTTACTCATTCATTTCATTACCAATTTATTATACAAGGATATGACTCAGGGACAGCCCGATAGAATAGATGCATCGGGCAAGGAAGGGGGGAAGGGGCACGGAGTGTGTGTGCCCTCCCTGCACGTGCACCCACCTGGCACCTCCTTAAGTTCACCAACCGGATACTCTCTGAACTTTTGGGGTTTTATGGAGGCTTCATTCTGCAGCCATGGCTGATAGAAACACTGGCTATTGGCAATTGAACTCAGTCACCAGCCCATCACCTCTCCCAGAAGATGGGGATGTCGAGAGTTGGGTGGGGCTCAAAGTTCCAACCCTCTAACCACCACGGTTGGTTCTCCCCATCCGTACATTACCTAGGGGATTTCCGAAAGTTGCCTTGTTTTTTTCTTCTTTTAATTTTTTTAAATGTTTTATTTATTTCTGAAAGAGAGAGACAGCATGAGCAGGGGAGGGTCAGAGAGAGAAGGAAGACACAGAATCCGAAGACAGCCTCCAGGCTCTGAGCTGGCTGTCAGCACAGAGCCCGATGCGGGGCTTAAACCCACGAACTGTGAGATCATGACCTGAGCCGAAGTCGGACACTTAACTGACTGAGCCACTCAGGCGCCCCCAATAGTCACCTCGTTAACAGCAAAATACACCTTTATCCTTCTCATCACTTAGTAATTTGCAAGGGTTGTAGGAGCTCTACCCAAAATTTAGGTGAAGACCAAACATATATTTCTTTATTATAAGTCACAATATCATGGGGCACCTGGGTGGCTCTGTCGGTTAAGTGTCCGACTCTTGATTTTGGCTCAGGCTTTTATCTCATAGTTCGTGGGATCCAGCCCCAAGTTCGGCTCCGTGCTGATGGCACAGAGCCTGCTTGGGATTCTCTCTCTCTCCTCTTTCTGCCCCTCCCCCACTCAGGCACTCACATGTGCCTGTTCTCTCTCAAAGTAAATAAACTTTAAAAAATATCGTAACAGGGGCGCCTGGGTGGCTTAGTCGGTTAAGCATCCGACTTTCGCTTAGGTCATGACCTCGCGGTTCGTGGGTTTGAGCCCCGCGTTGGGTTCTGTGCTGACTGCCAGCTCAGAGTCTGGAGCCTGTTTCAGAGTCTGTGACTCCCTCTCTCTCTGACCCTCCCCTGCTCACGCTGTCTCTTTCTTTCTCCTAGACATAAATAAAACTTTAAAAAAATAATAAAAAAAAATAAAAAATATCATAACATGACTTCACCAGTCCCCTCTATGCAGAAAACAAAGACTTGAATAGCAAAACAGGTTTATTTTTTCTTTTTTTTTCTTTTTTTTTTTTTTTAAATTTTTTTTAATGTTTTATTTATTTCTAGGAGAGAGAGAGAGACAGCGTGAGCAGGGGAGGGTCAGAGAGAGAGGGAGTCACAGACTGAAACAGGCTCCAGGCTCTGAGCTGGCAGTCAGCACAGAGCCCGACGCGGGGCCTGAACCCACGAACGGCGAGATCATGACCCAAGCGAAAGTCGGACGCCCAACCGACTAAGCCACCCAGGCGCCCCAAAACAGGTTTATTTTTTAAATTAAAAAAAAAAAAAAGACCATTAGAAAGAGCTGTAACAAGTGGATAAAGTGGTCAAGTTCACTGAATATCACATATCAAGGAGAACCCCTCCCTGAACAGGTGTCCCAGGCTGTGTTCTCCCAGCTGTTTGCAGGAAGTCTCCACTTGGGTTAGTGAACGTGGCCTGGCTGTGGGTTCAGGAGGCACGAAGCTCATTGTCACCGGAGGGGAGCGTGCTCTCAAGTGCTCCCCAAGTTTCCCAGTGATGCTCTCTTCCTTGAAACACTAATGGACTTCTGGTTAATTAAGTCTGCCTCTCTAACTAAAGGATCTGAAATATGTTCATGTTCGGGAAAGAGCCCGATGGGGGGCTCAAACTCACCAACCGTAAGATCGTGACCTGAGCTGCAGTCGGATACTTACCCAATCGAGCCACCCAGAGGCCCAGGATATGAAATATTCTCACGTTTTCGATGGTGTTGCAGAAACACTCTATTGGTGACCGCAATGCCCAGACTTTAATGATACCACGCACGGCCGTGCTACCGGGGAAACGAAAGGAGATACTCGAGATACGAGCGAGCAGGGAGCCTCTTCTCCCCTGGGACTGACTTGGAAGCCGGGTGAAGAGCAGCAGTGCCAAGGTGATGACAACAGCCATCGCTGGAAGGTCGGCACTCTCGCCAAAGAAGGGGAAGACACATCAGTTTTGTGGGCCGAACTGCGCTCTTTTCTCAGCGGTAATGGAGGACTTGAGCTGAGTCCCTCTGTCTAGGGTTTTAGACTCGGGTCGTGGCCGGTGGCCTGGCCATACAGTCAGGCCACCGGCACTGGAAAGCTGGCCTACAGAAGGGATGCCCATGCGGGGCATGGCCTGTGGAAATCACTAGAGGAATCTGAGGCGTGCATGGGAACAGGACGCATCTCTGCCCGTCGGGAGAAACGCCTTCCAAGTTTGCAACGGGGCTGGAATCGGCCCAGGGTCCTCACTTGGGGTGGCTTCACGGACACACGTGAGTGGCCGTGGGGGTCTGGAGCAACGCGGAAATGTGCTCAGATCCTGACAGTCCTCTTGCACCCGCGGAGGCACAAAGTGCCCACAAGAGAGACGGACCCTGCAGGTGGCTCTGTGGCAGGCTGCCCAGTGGGAAGGCCCTGATCAGGGCAGGCAGGCGAGACAGAGGCCAGCGGCCCTGGGGAGCTACAAGCGGGTCCTGACAGGAAGAGACACCGACTCTGAAGGGCTTTGGCTTACCCGCTGGTACGTGCGGGTGCCCAGGGTGCTCTAAGAGAACGGGAACGGAACTTGCGAGTTTGGACCTGAGTCACATTTCTTCAGACCGGGGGACATGCTTCTATCCCATGCGGTCTAGCACTGGGCAGAGAGAGCGCCTCGGCAGAGGAACGCTTTGATAGGAAACTGGGATGGGAATTGGCAACATTGCTACAGGGCTGGTAAGTGCAGGGAACGACTGACAAAGGGACTTGGCCTCCTGGGTGCCCCCTTCTGTGGACCCGACATTTCCTGCACACAAATGGGGGGGAAAAGTGGTCAGGGGCTGGGAAAGAGGTTTCTGGAACTCTGACACAGGAGCTCCACGGGAAGCCCCAGAGCGGGCTTTGAGTGGATGCGGGGACCGGAGGTGTGTGGGTTGACAGAATCACGGGGGAGGTGTGGACGGAAACTGGAACGTTCCGACAGGCCTGATGGGAAGAGCTGGTCTCCGTTAGAGCCTGTTTTAAAGGAACGGCTCTGACGCCTCCCCAGAGAGGCTCCCCTGCCCACAGCTGGAAATCCAGACCTGCTGGGGCGGGCCCTGCTTGGGCCGCTCGGGTCGGTGGGATGAAGGCGGGAGCCAAACCAGAGCAGCCCCGTTTGAACGGCGTGAGGAGTGGCGGCGGCATCTCTCTCCCTCGGACGCATGATGGGGATGGATACTGGGTCTCTCTGTGGAACGTGCCGGTACCCAGGGCTGTGACACAGGCATGTAAATGGGAACCGGCAAACACCTGCGGAGGCACGCTGCCTGGGAAGCAAGACGGCAGGAGCCCCCGCGGTGTAGACAGGGGCGGGCGGGGCCGGCTCCCTGTGCCATGGCGGGTGTGGGCCACAGACCACAGCTTACGGCCAACGCCCGTCTGTGCACCCAGCACCAGTGCTGGGACTCCGGGCTGGGGGAGAACTTCCGTGGGAGGCCGCCTCCTAACCCGCTGTCAGACGGTAAACAGAAGCTCCCCAAGGACGGAAGGATACGAAGGCCTCCCGCAAGTGAGACACTCCTGATGTCCCAGATGCCGTCCCAAGGCTCAGGAGCCGCTGTTTAGAAGAACGTGAGATACCCCATGCCTTCTACTGGCCGCTTAAGTAGAAACCAAGGCTCGGCTGCACAAGTTTTATTTTTTGAACATCACGCGATCCGCTCATACAAAATAGCTACGCTGCTGAGTTAGCATCTAAAGTGCTGAAGTTCCCGGAGCATCACGCTCGCGCCCTCGCGGCAGGCGTGTGCCGAACCCGGGGTACAGGACGGGCTTTCTTCCGGACGGTGTGCAGAGGTCCCCGCTTGTGTCGGGGGACACGGCGTGCGCATAGGGTCACGCGGGACAGGGCTCACTGGCACCCAGCAGAAGCGGGGGGCCTGACGTCCCCCGGAGGCTCCCCGCAGGTGCCTTCTCGACTGAAATACCACTGGCTGGAGGCCCTGAGGCCCTGGGTCTCTTCCCAGGCCTCCTGGTTGATCAAGGATGCCTCTTTACTGGCCTCGGCGGAGAGTTCCAGCACCTGGGCAAAGCTCCTGCAGAAACAACAGGGCGGGTGAGGCCTTTTCGTCCTCTGTGCCCCAGAGCCAGACGGCCGGGGCGCCTCGGCCTTGCTGGCTGAGATGTGGGGAAGGGGGCCGCTTCCTCTGTGTTCACAGGAAACCACGGGCAAATAAGCTGTGTCTGAACGGAACTCAGGGAGGCCCGTGAGAACAGGACCAGGCAGGCACGAAAGATGATTTCGGGAACACCGACACCGTGTCAGGAGCCGTGCCACAAATGAACGGGTGGCCCACACACAGTGTAGACAGTGGCGGGGAAATACAAGCTAACGCAGCATGTCCGGCCAGCAGCACCCAAGACCCTTGCACTCTGGAGCCCTCAGATGGGTCCTCATTCAACCTGGGGGGGGACACCGGTGCAGGAAATGCCACAGTACATGGTGGCTGTTCTGTAGGAGCACCTTTCAAGTGTTTTAGGCATTTCAGGAAGTAACTTGAGCATGACAAAGCAGAACAAAACAAGGTTCTTACAGGGAACAGGAGGAAAGTCCCCCAGGGAAGAAAATCCCCTGGGGGGAAAGACGCGGGGGGTGGGGACCAGCCGTGGGGCACACTGGGACCTGGGGGCGGCTTCCACAGGGCACAGCTAGGTGAAGCCCACCGAGCTATGCTGGCAAGGTCTGTGCCTGTTCTACATGCATTTGTGACAAGTTCTGAGATCACCAGAATCCCTTGCCCGGGGAGTCCCTTAAAGCATGGGCAGCCGATCCACGGGCACCTGGAGGGCCGTCACTCTGCGGAAGTAAAGGGCTGGGGACATCAGGGGCCCCCTTCTCCTGTGTCTGCTGGACAAAGCACACAGGGGTTTGCGCTGGGCTGGAGGTGCCCACCCCCTGCCCCCTCCTCGCCTTGGTGGACCCTTGCACCTTTCCCCTCTGCAATCACCACAGCTGCCTGCTCTCCAGAGTGCGGCACGCTGCTCCCAGCTTAAAATCTTTTCTGAAGTACCTGCGGAGCTCCAGATCCTTCTTTTGGGTCATTTCCCTGAGTTCGCTCAGCAGGCACAGAGCTTTCAAGTTTTCTTCTAAACTGCCAATCCCAAGTTCTCCCAGCAGATGGCGTGTGGTCGTCAATTCGCGCTGCAAACCGTCTGGAGGGGAGGAGGGAGGGTCAGCCAAGGGTTTCAGGGTGCCCCAAGCGATGGGTGCGAAGGGTGGGCAGCTGATTAGATCGTCCGTGTTCACTGGAATGCCCTCAGACTACGCTCGAATTGTGAAGAGCGCAAAGGCAGAGGGGGTCAGGTGGAGGGTAACATTCACGCGCTGGCACCGCCTCTGGGCCCCTTTGCCAGAGATCATGGTGGCCTGAGATGGTGGGTCGGGCATGCCCGCCATCCAGGCAGTCACTGGAACAGACCTGGAAACCTGGAAAGCCACTTCGATGTCCTCAACAGAAACCCACGTGAAAGGCCGAGAAGTCTGTGCTACAAGCAACTTACAACTGAGCCTGCAGTTCCCTCTCTCTGTTCCCGTCTTGTGTCCCCACCCCCGAGGCAGCAGCCCGCATCCGGAGTGTGTCCCGCCTGCTCTAAGCAGAACAGCGCCACACCTGCACACAGTGACATTTTGAGAAGTTGAGAAGGATTCCTCCGAACACCCACCCTCCCAACACTTCTCCTTGTGGTCTGGATTGCATCCTCCCAAAGATACATTGAGGGCCTAATCTCGAGTCCCTGTGAACGTGACCCCCCCCTGGAAATGGAGTCTCGGTAGACAGAACTGAGTCAGAGCACAGTCACAGGGCAGGGCCTGATCTGATACCTGGCATCCTTCTAAGAGGGAAATGCAGAAGCGGCCACGCTCAAGGGCAAGGCCGTGTGAAGTCATGGGCGGCCTGCAGTGACGCTGGCACAGGCCAAGGAGGGCCAAGAGCTGGGGGAGACACCGGAAGCCAGGGGACAGGTGTGGAGAGCCTCTTCCCTCAGAGCCTCCAGGAAGGGCCAGCTCTCCGAGGCCTTGATTTCAGCCTTCAGACCCTGAACTGACGGGAACGCGTTTCTGCTGTTTTAAGCTGCCCGGTTTGTCAGATTCCAGCCACAGGACCTGGCAACCAGCACCCACAGCACTCAGGAGAGGAAGAGTCCGAGAGCCACAGGCATGTGGTGGCCGCCGTAAGCCTGCAACCGGGAGCCTGCACACAGAGAACAGCTCCACGAGGCTCCTTCCTCCAAACTCCATGCCATTTGTTTCCTATTTCGTATGGAAAAGCTCGCTTAAAAACCATCTCTGTCCGAGATGATCAACTTAACAACACTCTCTGTGATCCTGAACTGTGTCTGTGGAAAGTTCCGGAAGGAAAGTCCGCCTGACTTTAGGTGGCGATGTCCTACCACATCAGCCTCAAGACAAAACGTACCTAGATGGCTGGCAAGGGCCCTCAAAACGTACCTAGATGCCTGGAAATAACCGGATTCCAGGATGACTGAGAACTTGCTGTGGGAGGACACTTGCTCTAAAGAGAATTTTAAGACCGAGCACGGCCCTCTGCATGCCTGCTGCCGTCTTCAAACAAAGGATTAGGCGGGATGCCTATGCCAGTGAGGTAACCCACGGCGCTGCTGGGAAGGCAGCATCTCCGAAGAGACCCCCCCACCCCGATCTCAGGGGATCACAGCTGTTCCCCAAGAATGCCTCTCTGCAGGGCTGGGAATCACTAGCCTGTTCCAGAGACTGGGCTTCAAACCCCAGCATGGCCCTCAATCGGGCCGCAACCCTGGACAAGCCCCAGCTTTGCTGGTCCCCCGTGTCCTCTGCCACCTGGTGAGGACATGACAAGTGGATAAAGGTGGCTGGCACGCAAGGAGCGGCGGCAACACACACGGGCCACTAGCTGGCCCTGCTCCTTGCCCGGGGGCCGCGCTGTTTCCTACCTAAGAACTGCTGCCCATCCCCGTCCAGGTGGATGGACTTCACCGGAAGTTCATGCCTCGTGGCGTCCAAGGCCGTCGCGAATGTCTTGTACTGCTCCTTGAAGCGCTCAGCCAGAGCCTCATAGGGGCCAAGCATCTCGATCTGCAGGCAGGAGGGAACAAGGCCTGTCACACAAGACCCAGGCACGCGGAGCATCTGATGTGAAGACACAGGACTGTGCTCTCAGGGTCTCCTAGGGATCCTCCAGGAAGCTTACGGGGGCGTGGTGGCTCCCCAATGGCTCAGCCAGCAGCGAAGTGGCCCAGGCGGCCTATGAACATGGCTCCTAGAACATTCCAGGGCCAGGCTCTCAACTGGGATCACAGGCCCAGGGAGGTTGGGCCCTCCTGCTTCAGAGAATTGAGGTGAAATGTCTGCCCCCTCACAAGATAGCCCAGCAACCCCCTTTTCCCTCACACGTGCTGTCGGGGTCTTGGGGGCGGGGGACTGTAAGCACACATTTGATTACTTGTCTCTGCTTTTCCTTACACTGTGAGCTCCATGAGAACTGAGACCTCGATCTTGGCTCAGGACCCGGCCACAGGCTGTTCTCTCTTCCTCTCTCTCTCTCTCTCTCTCTCTCTCACACTCACACACACACACACACACACACACCGTATTATGGGTTGGATCGTGTTCCCCCCAAATTCCTGTTGATGTCCCAACCTCCAGCGCCTCAGAATATGACGTGACTTGGACACAGGGCCAGCAACAAGTAACCGAGTTAAGGCAAAGTCATCAGAATAGATAGGCCCTGATCAGAAGGACTGGTGTCCTCAGACAAGGGGAAGATGTGGGGGCACCTGAGGGCCTCAGTCAATAAGCACCCAACTCTTGACTTTGGCTCAAGCCATGATCTCATGGTTTGTGAGTTTAAGCACCCAACTCTTGACTTTGGCTCAAGCCATGATCTCATGGTTTGTGAGTTTGAGGCATCAGGCTCTGTGCTGACAGAGCACAGCCTGCTTGGGATTCTCTCTCTCTCTCTCTCTCTCCCCCTCCCCCACCCCCATTTTCTCACTCCCAGGGCTCTGTCCCTGTGCGGGCCACACGGCACCAAGCCAGCACCCTGGCCCTGCAGGAAGGCCCAGATCACATCTTCGTGTCACTGAGCACAAGGGTCAGGTGCCGAAAGAACAGGTGCCGTGTGTGTGCTGGAGGGACAGGTCCCTGTGGCTGGTCAAACTATCACACACCCACACCCAGTGGTGTCAAAAGCTGGCCACAGGGTTAGAGCTGGCGGCAGTGACGCGTACTGCCAATGGCCCCTCCTTCCCTGCTGGGACCGCCCCTCCGGGACACGTGGCCCGGAGACCAGCCGCCGCTGACCTGGGCGTCTAGGACGTCTGCCAGCTCCCGCTTCCTCTGACAGAGGAGAAGTCTGCGCTTCAGCTCGTAGGCCTTGGTCTGCAGCTTCTCCGTCTCTTTGCACATTATTAACAGATTCCTTTCCGCCTTCTCTTCGAATGGAACGAGGTTGTTCTCCATCTGCCGAGCGCACAACAGGAGTTCAGGCCGGAGGCCACGATCTCTGCGGCTGACTAAGGCCACCCTGCCGGCCGCGCCACGCAGGGACCAGGCTCCGTTCTCACCTTTACGGCCAGCAGAGTCAGGAGCAATGTCTGGGATTCCATCATTTCCATCGCCTCAGATGGGTCCTTGAGGGGAGAAGACATTTCTGGTGGCCAACACGTTGGCATGAATCCAGCCCTCCCCCAGAGGGGCAGACAGTTCACCTTTGCGAACTTTACTCAGTTCAGCAGTGTGAGGCTTCTGTACTGTGCGTTTCTACCTCCTGGTTTAGCCTCTTTGGGCACTCTGAGCAGGCAGAGGACGCTCTGGGCCCCGCCCGTGGCTGGCTGCTGGAGGGCCGGCGGGGGGGCACCCATCCGGTCACTGCCGCACCGGAACCCGGACCTCCCACCCCGCTGAGACCGCAGCCCAGTGGTCCTCCCCAGGGGACAGCATCGGCCAATAAGGCCCCAGATCTCATTTGTCACGTGATGTCGTGTTCATAACTACTCCCGTACAAGTACTCGGGAGAACGTGAACTCTAGCAACGCTCTGAGAACGCGTGTGGCCTCGGCTCTGTCCTAAAACGCATGCACGGCTGGCCTGTCCCGTCTTCGAGCCTCAGGGCGGTGAGTGGCACCTGCAAGGGCAGGGGCTGGTACCCCATTTCTCTGACTCAGCAGCTCCCCCCTCATTTCGGACACTTACTGGGCTCTTCTTCTGTGAAGCTGAAAAGGACGTTGGCTCGGTTTTCTTTGACATCGTTTTTTCTAACTGCGGGGTCCTTCTAACCATGCTTTTGTCTAAGGTCAAGGAGAACATTTTGAAGGTGAGAGGAACTTACCCAGGAGGCCCGCTGGGACGCGCCGCGACACCGCCCTCCCCTGCCAGGGAAAGCGGGGCCCGGGCGGACGGCTTACCATTGATGGCCGAGAGGTCCAGGTCAGGCGGGGCGGTGCCGTGCCCTTCCAGCAACGTGGACTGCAGGTCGCCCTTCCCGACTCCACTGCTGTCTGCGGGCCCAGGGAGAACGCCCAGAGGTCAGCACGGTCTGCGTGGCACTACGCACCTCCACTGGGACGGGCGACTTTCCTGTCTGCTACCCCCTGCTTCCAAAACCCATTTCGTGGGAGCTGAGCAGCCCTAAAGGCTGAAAGACCTTTGCAAGTTCCCAGCCAGTGGGCTGGTTGGATTTCAAAGCAGGACCAGAAACGAGACGCACGCTGGGTAAGCCAGAGACGCAAACACACCTTTCTGTGCAGCTTAATGAAAAACGCCGCGTCCCGGAAAGGAGACTGGTGCGCGCCACGCACTTGTTCCTCCCTCTGCTTTTCACAGCTTCTGGACTGTTTATCTTCTCTGGGAGTTCCCTTCGTCTTTACCCTCTATTTAAAACTGTGAAATTATGCCTTCCGCCATCTAAACTGGGCCCTGGGGTACCACGGGCTTCAACGAGGCAAGGGGTCCTGGTAAACGAACAGACGGTATGCAGAGGTCTCTCTGTCGCATTAGCAGCTAAACAGAAAGTGATTTAATGAGCAGCCACGAAGTTGAGGAAATGAGGACATGGAGATAAAACAGTGCAAAGTATAGGGGATGCCACCCGTCATTTGAATTTTTGAAAAGTTTTGGGGAAACAAAAATCTACCGCCCTCCCGGGCAAGGGGATGGAAACCTGAAGGGGGAGACAGGACTTTTTATTGCTGTTGCTTTTGCACTGGTGACAGCTTCTGTCATCCGCACGGACAGCATTTCCACGGAGAGAAGTGATTTCCCAGGGAGCTATGCAGTGGAGCTCCAACGAGCAGTCCCTCTCAATTAACCCATGGTTATGGGGTTTTTTTTCTTAATGTCTGTTTTTCAGCATACGTGCTGCCGAAGCGAGCACAGTGTTTTATTCTGGGGGAGGGGGAGGGCAGAGGATCCGAAGCGGGCTCCGCATTGACAGCACAGAGCCCGATGCAGGGCTCCAACTCACCAACCGTGAGATCACGACGTGAGCTTCAGTCGGAGGCTCAACGGACTGAGCCCCCAGGCGCCCCAGGACGTGGCTGGCCCCATTCCTGGTCCCTCTGGGTTGTACACCAGTTTTCCCAGCTTGACCCATGGCCCTCAACCCAACAGCATGAGAGACTAAAGAGCCCGGGCCCAGCTCCGTGTGCTGCTTCTCAATCGCGTCCGGGTCGAGGAACACCACAGACGCTGACACACATCTAGACCAGGACCAGCAACTTTTCAATCTGCCAAAATGTTACTATTCCTGTTGACCAGAGGCCCTACTGATAACACAAAGTCAGGAAACATGTATTTTGTACGTTGTGTATGCTATACACTGCATCCTTACACACGCTGTGTTATTCTCACGCGTGTGTTCTTACCCATACCGCATCCTTAAAACAAAGTAAGCCAGAAAAACGGAAACGTTAAGGAAGCCACAAGAGAAAACACATGTGTGGCCCCGCGCTGTGACAAAGCCACATAGAAGTACACCAGGCAGTTTAACTCGTGCTGTTCAAAGGTCAACGGCACTTAATTTTTCCGATGAGACTCAAAGCTGTTGCCGTTTTGAACAAGGAGGTGCGGGCCAAGGAACAGTTTTGCTTTCTGTGAACTGCTTTCATACAGAGGAGCCGCCAGTGATCGCTGGAGAAGTGGGCGCACAAGAAATGGGGTGCGGCGTTGGGGAGAGGCTATCCCGGAACCCGGGATGGGCACACTGGTTATAATGGGACACCTAACACATAGCAACGATCTGAGTGGCAAAGCATGAGGGCGCTGCCACCCTCCTTGGCCACTTCTCCATTCCCTTTCACAACGAACACCTGTGTCGGCAATCAGGAAAACGGCAAGGTTTTCTTATCGCTTTGGTGGCAGCTTCTAGAAGGGGTAAGGGGACACCATTACGAGGAAGACCTCACCCAAGGTGGCCAGAGGCAGGAAGATGAGGCCTCACACCCCCTCCACCCAGGAAACAGTCACGTGGCCAAGGAAGCGCCATGTTGGAAATGTGGCTCTTATGCCAGGCCACACAGGAGGTAACCCCCCGCTTTCCCCGGCCACTTCCCTATAGCTCCCCCGATGGGCGCAAATCTATCCTCACACAGAAACCCTTTCACTAGCTCCTCTTCCTGACACTTCCCAAAAAGAGGGAGGTTTATTTTAATATACCTGAAAATAAAATTCACCACCATGTTCATCCCTTACTGAATGCACTTGAGGGCTGTTTCACACTCTCCCTCCGTCTTTACACACCTTTGCTCTTCTGGAGCAAGTGGACTCTCCTTGCACCGTCAGGCATCTTCCCACTGGTCTTCGATGCATCTGCTGCAGAAGCCTATTAGGGGAACACGTGACATTCGGGGCAGAAGACCTCTCCCCTTTGTGAGAAGGGGCCACTTCATGGTCTGTGCAACTAGTACCTGCTATTACTTTGAAGTAAGGCATAAACTTAGAGAGTTCTGACCTTTAATTACATATACACAGGATGAACTAATTTTGTCAAAAAGGATAGCCTCCCATGCACAGAATGTAGGAAACCACCAAAAAGCTTGCCAGGAATTATCTCTGACATGGCAGATTCCAGGGGACTGATTTTCTATATACTTTATAGTATTTACCAGAATTTACTTTATTTTTTTAAGTAAGCTCCGTGCCTATATCATGGGGATCAAACTCATGACCCTGAGATCACGAGTCACACGTGCTCTACGAACTGAGCCAGCTAGGCACCCCCCCGCCCCCGCCCTGTATTTACCAGCTTTATACAAAGAACATACTACTTCAGTCACCAGGAAAAACAAAATTTTTGTACACGTATTAATCTTCAAAACATTAAAAAAAAAAAACAAAAAGAAAACCTTGTAAAGAGCAAGAATATTTCAATGCATAGCCACCACTTCTATTCAACCCCCTAATGGAGGTCTCAGAATAAAAAATAAAAGGCAAACAGATAAAGAAGAAAAAATAAAACCCTCTTCTTATATGTATGACACGATTTATAAAGAAAATCCCAAATACTACCAAAACTATAAACAAGTTTATTTAGCAAGATCGCAGGATATAAGGTCAATATAAAAAGATCCCATTTCTAGCAATGAACCAATTTGGAAAGCGAAATTCAAAGATAGTACTATGTAAAAGTTCTCAGCAAGGAAAAACAAAACTATGTATGGTGACAGGTATTAAGTAGATTTACCGGGGCGACTATTTTGCAACATATACAAATGCTAAATCATTATGTTGTATACCTGAAACTAATATAACTTTGTATGTCAATCATACCTCAATTAAAAAAAATTCTTCATTTATGAAAAAAGAAAGGGATGCCTGGGTGGCTCTGTCAATTAAGCATCTGACCTCAGCTCAGGTCATGATCTCATAGCTCGTGGGTTCAAGCCCCACATCAGACTCTGTGCTGACAGCTCAGAGCCTGGAGCCTGATTTGGATTCTGTGTCTCCTTCTCTCTGCCCCTCCCCTGCTTGCTGTCTCTTTCTCGAAAATAAATAAACATTAAAAAAAAAAAAAAGACAAGACAGTATCACATATAACATCACTAAAAGCCATCAGACGCTTAGGTGTAAACCTAACAAGATATGGGGAAGGGCCTGTAAGGAAAGGAAGGCCAACATGACCAAATAAATGGATAGGCGTACCATGTTCATAGATTGAAAGCCTTGGTGTTTTCAGGATGTTATTCTCCCTAAACTGATGCACAGATTCAACACATTCAAAATCCCAGCAGAAATTCTGGTAGAAAATAGCAAGCTAAATCTAAAACTTCTAAAGAACAGCAGAGGGTGGCTCAGTCGGTTAAGCGTCCAACTTTGGCTCACGTCATGATCTCATAGTCTGTGAGTTCGAACCCTGCTTCAGGCTCTGAGCTCAGCACAGAGCTCCTTCGAATTCTGTGTGTGTCTCTCTCTCTGCTCCTCCCCCACTCATGCTCTATCTCTGTCTCTCAAAAATAAATAAACGTTAAAAAAAAAAAAAACTGCCATTCCAGCCTACCAGAGTAAAAGACAGGTAGCGAAAATTAATACCTGACTGAATTTTATCATAAACTAAATTGGGAAAATAGGAAAAGTAACACAATGTCAAGACATTCTCAGTATGTGCACAACGAAAGACACAGAATGGGGTAACCTACTGTTTCTATTAAACATCACAAGGAGCATGTTCTCACGGTAAGTGTTTCATTCCATCATTTTCGATGGTTTCATAATTATTGTGGCGGGGCTACAGATAGTTCACGAACCTCTGCCTCTAATACTGGGTGATTCAGGCACGTCATTTTTTCCCATAGTCCTTCTAGAAGACCCTGTAGGTGTTTTTCAAACACTAGTCAAGGGCACGCCTAGGTAGCTCAGTTGGTTGAGCCTCTGACCCTTGATTTTGGCTCAGGTCATGATCTTGCAGTGAGTTCGAGCCCTGCATCAGGCTCTGCGGCTGAAGAACACTTGGGATTTTTCTCTCTCCCTCGCTCTCTACCCCTCCCTCACTCTCATCTTCGCTCTCAAAACAAACGTATTCTATAAATATAGCCAAGGCCAGGGACTGTGTGCCGGGCACCCAACAGAACGGCTTCAAGACAGAATCCAGAAAGGAATTATCAGGTTGAAAAGCAAGAATGGGGGGTGCCTGGGTGGCTTAGTCAGTTAGGCGTCCGACTTTCGCTTGGGTCATGATCTCGCGGTTCGTGGGTTCGAGCCCCACGTCGGGCTCTGTGCTGACTGCCAGCTCAGAGCCTGGAGCCTGTTTCAGAGTCTGTGACTCCCTCTCTCTCTGACCCTCCCCTGCTCACACTGTCTCTCTCTCTCCTAGAAATAAATAAAACATTAAAAAAATTTAAAAAAAAAAAAAAGAAAAGCAGGAATGATTTCAGGTTTCAAAAGCAGTCATGTCTTTGTAAAGAGGATCCTCAAAGAGATCGCCGCTCACAAAAGAGACTCAAGACTGGGCGCAAAGGACGCGACAATCACAGAGGCAACTGGGCGAAGTCCCCAAAAGGCCTGTTTCGGGACCATGCTGCGCCTGGCTCATGCGATTTGTGTCAGAATTCCAAGTTCCAGCAGAACTCCATTCAGAACATTCAAAAAAAAGTTGTTACCTTTTTGGTGGTTTTCTTCTCGTACTGCAGGTATCGGGACTCAACCACTCTTCCACCTGTGGGGGACACACTGTTGGTTTATAACAAAACTACAACAGTGGAGTGTGAGAACTGCCCCCCCCCCCGCTACCATCGAGAGCCCAGTACTATGCCCTCCCCCCCATCAACAGCAGGGACAGAGGAGCTGTTCCGGCTTGCTCTTCTCAGATCCTGTCCTTCAGCATCCTTGAGCATGTATGGGACACCTACTGTATACAAGAACATGGATGGGATACCTGTGGCATACAAGTCCCTGGGCTAGGGACAGAGCCCCAGGGAGCTGCAGGAGCTATGATCAAGGACTATGAGTGAATAATCTCAAAGCAGAAAGCGGATTCAGGGGCAGGGCAGGGACAGGAAGTAATACTTTTCAAGGAGGGGCGCCTATCTGCCTCCTCCTCTCCTCCCAACTCACTCCCTGTGGTCGAGACCCCAACCACCCCTTTCTTCACCCAGGTCTGTGTATGACCCGCTCCTGGTACGGGCCTTTCACGCCTCTCTACCCCCTTCCCTGGCTTAGGACTGCTTGGCAGACTTGCTCGGCGCCGAGGCCATACACCTTGGTGACCGCCCAGCCCCAGGCCCCCTTCTGTGCCCGCCCTGTGCCAGCAAGGGGGTTTCTTTCAACGGCCCCAGTGACCTCCCACGGTCCTCTGCTCTGTTCCCCCACCCCTACCCTGGACCCACCCTTGCACCTTCTCCTCCCACTTTCCACACTGGGCCCATCCCTCCAGTTGGCTAGGGACCAGATTCCACCTCACTGGGAACACAGCAGCCGCCCCAGGAGACCCTCCCACCTGAGCATCCAGCAGCCTCCCAAGTTCGGGGCCATATCCTGGCCACACGGTGTGGAGGGACCTCTGTGCTTTGGGGTAAAGCAGACCCTCCACTCTAGGTGCTGGAGCCCGCCCTCACCCCCGCACCCCAACCCCAGTTCCTCTCCCCAGTGGTCTTCCTGCTATTCTCCCCCCCACCTCCACCCTCTCCCCCAACTTCTCTGCTCCCCTTTCCGATGCCAGCTCCTCCTCCTCTCCTCTCCTGGATCCCACCCCTGTCCAGGCTGGCTCTCACGAGCACCACTGCACCAGACAAACTCCTTTCGGCAAGACCACCGAGATCTCCCTGCTCCAAAGCCCACCAACCTACTCCGAGTCCTCGTTCTGAGCACAGCCACTTCCTGGCACCCTCCTCCCCACACATCCTGTGTCCTCCCAGCCGGCTGCCCCCTTGGTGGCAGAGGATGCGCGGCCTCAGAGATCCATTAGCCGGCGAAGCCTCTGCGCCTCCAGGAACCTGGCACGTCTCATCTTCCCACCTCGCTGCCCTCACTCCTGTTCCTGCTACTGTGACCACGCTCGCTGCGCCTCCAACCAGCAGGCACACCCCTGCCCCCGCCCTCCTTCCCAGCTCCGCTCAGCCCGGCACCTCCCTTGGATGGGGAAGCCACCCACATCCTGTCCTATCCACATGGTCCGACACCCCTAGTGTCTCCTCACTTCTCTATTTAATCCACTGCCAGTCTGTCCTGCTCCAGGCTACATGTCACCCCCCAGGAGGGAGTAGGTGCTCAGCCAGGCAGCTGACGTACGATTCTACACTTTTTCTAGGTACACCCAGAGCTCAGAGATCTCCCTTTTTACTGAAGAGACCCAGAAAGACTGACACTGTTAACATCGCGCTGCTTGACAATTCGGTTAGGTGACGTGGTGATTTCAACCGGATCTTCATGCCAGGATTTCATCTTTCCCTGGGGCTGGGAAGGGGAGGGGGGACGCCACAACCCTAAGTGGAAAGGAGGGACATCCAGAGTTCACGGGGAGCCTGGAGCTGGACAACGAGCTAGTGATGGCCCTGAGTGAGCCTTGGACAAGGAAGAGCGATGCCTGCAGGGTGCGCGGGCTCTGACAATGGCGCAGGAGGCACTTAAGGGTCAAGGCCAACACCACACAGGGCCCAGGAGAGAAAATGAAGACACACCAAGGGTCTGCCACTGGACGTCAAGTGAGGGATCAGGGCAAAGAACACCCCCCATTTCTAGGCACGGGAAGCCATCTTGCTTTCAGTCCACTACCATCCACACAGGGTCCTCTGGGAGGATCTCAGGCCTGGGGTTCCTTCAACAGTTGACAAGCGGCTTCAGGTTCCCAGAAACTAGAACGTATGTATTTGTTTGAAACGGTGGATTTTCCACGGAAGCAGTATTACGATGAGCGATATAATTTGTGTTCAAGAACGAGACCACATGCAGACGTAATAAACGTTATAGACGAACAAGATGGTCAAGCAACGCGGTAGCGTAGGAACCTCCAGTCGCTTGAACTTGGATCTCCGCTCTTGCCGGGCCCGGGTGCACAGCACGCTTGAAGGGAGTAGTTCATTGTATCAGAGGCTTGCGCTCTGGCAGGGGCGATCTTCTAGTCCCCTGCCCAAAGCGGCACTGCCAAGTGTCAAGGGAGGCTGTGGCAGTGACGGCAGACCCCACATGGGGATACCAGGTGCGGGCACGCCCCCGAGGGGCTTACAGAGAAGAAACTGTGACTCCGGTGGTCGACAATGAGTTCAGCTCACACCCTCCTCGGACCCACACTTCCTTGTGGCGAGTCCTGGGCGCAGCCCGTGACCCCTCCCACGGCTGGAAGGGCTCACTGCCCTAGATGACCTCCACCGGGTCCTGCCACACCCCTGGCTGCAGGCCTGGGCGACCATACTCAGAATCACATGAAGGTGCGTGGGCAATAAAGGCCCTAGCTCCCCTGCTCTGGTCTGGATGTTTCGTCCCTGAAAGCACTTTCCCAAGCTGGATCGTGAGGGAGCTTGCAGTTTTGCTCACCTTGCGTCCTTCTTCCTTTCATCTTAGCGCCACCAGGAGTACCGGGGCCCCCTGAGGAAGGCTTCCTGGAAGAGGGAGACAGAGGTCTTGTTAACATAGTTGGCTAGGCTCGGAGAAGGCAGCGAGGAGCCTGGGCTTCCTCAGGACTACCCTGTCCCAGCACCCCAATGTCCGCAAGGCAGGGCCACCTCGACTGGAACGGGGACACAGAGCCCCTACCTGGCCCAAGCTGAGGAGGGCCCAGAGGAGGAAGAGTGATATAAGCACCAACTGTATGCTCCTGATGCCCCCCAGTGAACAACAGACGGAGCTCCTTCCTGCGAGGGAAGAACAGCGTTTTCCCGCTGGGCCATGTGAAGAGTGCCCCAGACAGGTTAAGAGGTGGGGAGTAGACGAGAGATCAAGCCCTGTCTGCTCAGGTTCATGGTGAAGGACATCGAGAGACAGGGATCAACAAGGGCAAGGGCACAGGGCAGAGAAGAATGATGTCAAAACAGAAATTGATCAGCCCTATGGCTTCACTGGGAACACAGGCAGGGATACGGGGTCAGGGGGAGAGAGGCTGAGCTGGGCAGAGTCCTGACTTCCCAGCGTAAGGACTCAGATCTATTTCTATAGTCTACTTACTGGTAACCTTTCTCTGTAAAGGGCCAGACAGTAAATATTTTCTACTTCATGGGCCATATGTTCCTGCCAGGAAATAATGACCCCTGAATATCATTCAGCCCTAAAGAGAGGTACTGATACATGCTAAAATGGATTAATCTCAAAAATACTATCCTCAAGGCACCTGGCTAGCTCAGTTGATGGAGCATGAGGCTCCTGAGTTCAAGCCCCACATTGGGGGTAGAGTTTACTCCAATAAATAACTAAACCTCTTCAAAGTATATACATTATCCTCAGTAAAAGAAACCAGACACATAAGGCCACATTTTGTAGGACTCTATATATCTGGAAAGTCCAGAACAGGCAAACTGAGATGGAAAGCTGATTGGGGGTGGTCAGGAGCCACAGGCTGCCGAAGAGTGGGGAGTGACTGCACATAGATACAAAGTTTCCTTCTGGGCTGGTGAAAATGTTCTAGAACTCTGCAGAGTTGGTGGCTGCACCTTGTGAGTCTTCGTGCCATTAAATCACTTGCTTTAAAATGGTTCATTTCCAGGGCACCTGGTTGGCTCAGTCGGTTGAATGTCCAACTTCGGCTCAGGTCATGATCTCACAGTTCGTGGGTTCGAGCCCCACGTCGGGCTCTGTGCTGACAGCCAGCTCAGAGCCTGGAGCCTGTTTCAGATTCTGTGTCTCCCTTTCTCTCTGACCTTCCCCTGCTCACTCTGTCTCTCTCTCTCTCTCAGAAAACACTGAGGGGCAGGGCAGGGACCTGGGTGCTGTGACCCCTGCTGACGTGAGGACAATCGGCTCACTGCAGCCACCTCCTGTGTGGCAGGCTCTGAGGACCCCCCAGCCTGAGCTGGGCCACATGAGGAGAGGCACCCTCACAAAAGCTCACTAGGTGCCAGAAGCTCTGCTCCTTCGCAGAACCCTTCCAACCCTACAAACACCTCACCATAGGTCTGCTTTACCCTTGTTTTCCAAGCAAGGACCTGAGGGTTTGAACAGGCCACCCGGGGCAAGTCTCAGAGCCGGCAAGGGACAGAACCAAGATTCCCTATGAGGTCTGAGCCAGCGCTCTGGAGTCAAACTGAATGGGGGGGCGGGGGGTTCACTACACCTGCGTCAGACCAGGTACCACCCTCCCCCCAAACCTCAGAGAGACTAATGGTAATCTCAGGGTAACAGCGGGTGGAGAAACCCCGAGTGATTTCGGTTGCCCTGTTAAACTTCAATTTGCACTGGAACAAATAAACATCGTCCGGAAGAACAAATAAAACAAACCTAGCCCAGGTATGGCGCCTGGCACCGATAAGCGTTCAAAGTATGGCTCTCTTGGTCTCGCTGTGACAAATGGCCTTCCCTCCCTGAGCCTCTATTAGGTCGTCTGTAAATACGATGCACAGGGAAAGGAGACTGGGAGGAATTAACGGAGATAGTTGAGTGGCCCTGCGCTTGTCCACTACCAAACGTTAACTGTAATAACCACAAATCGCATTCAGGGGCCGTGCACTGTTCTAAGCGCTTCTCAGTTTCACACAAGGCCTCCGAGGTTGAGCGGCGGCGTCATTCGGCCGGTTTCGCAGGGGAGGAAGGCGGAAGCACAGAAAGGTTAAGCCACTAGCCAAGGCTCGCCCCGCACCCACTGAACTGACTCGGGACTCAAGGTCTAGTTCCGCGCCCACGTTCCCGAGCATGCGCAAGAGGCCGCACCCCGCCTCCCCGAGCCTGTGCACCCTCGGTGGGTCCAAAAGGGATCGAATCCCCAGCCCCCAACTCTGCTGGGCCTCCCCCACCAGCTCCCGGCCATGGCCTTCTCGCCAGCACTGACAAAACCCAGAGACGCGGCGCCTCAACTCACCCAGCACCGCGCCCCGAAGAATCCGCCATTTCCCGCCTTTAACTCAAAGGCCGGCTCCTCAAGTCCGTGTTCCCGCCCCCTTGTCCCGGGCCGGGCCATATTGCTGCGCCACAGGAGGGGTGGCCATGGGCCTCCGTGTGCGTGCCTGCGGGTGGAACGGGCGAACTCTGCTCGCGCGCCTCGCTGTGTTCCCCTCACACTTGGTTTCATCCGCCAGCGGCAGGAGGCGGTGGCTGGAGCGCGTGGGGGTGGGGAGGCGGGTCTTTGCGACGCCCCGCCCCACGGGGGCTCTGGCGTCACGCCCCAGCCCCGCCCCTCCGGAACCCGGAAGCGGGAGCGCGCGGGGGAGCGGCGGGCGCGGCGGGGCGGAGCGGCCCGACCAGTGGTGGGCGGTCGGGCGGGCGGGCGGGGACCCGGCCCGGGACCGGCGGCGCGCGGCGGCCGAGGCCCAGGTGAGTGGCGGCGGCCGCGGGTTGGGGGCTCCATCTCCAGCCTCACAGTGGCGGGCTGCCTTGGAGGGCACGGAGCTGAGGGTTAATGGGAGGGAGGAGGCGCGAAGGCAGGGGTCGAGGGAGCGGGAAGGAGCTTGGGGGTCGTGAAGGGGTTGTTGCTGGAGACGGAATGGGAGCGGGACGGTTGAGAAGAAAGTTGATGGGAACGGCTTGGTGAGGGAGTTTACGGATGGGGAGGGAGCAGGTCTTGTGGCTTTGAGCAGCCTCTCTGAAGAGGACGTGGCTTTAGTGGTAGTTGGGGGGTCGCAGGAAACGGGGCTAGGAGGGGGAGACGCAAGGAGGCGGGGTTGAGAGGCCCAGGCTGGGGACGTGGGGCAAGGCCGGTGGGGGGACAGCCGAGATGCGATTGGGGGAGAGGGTACAGAACGGCCCAGGCCGTCTGCCCTCGGTGGACGAGCTAGGGAATGGTTCCTGGGGGAGGGAGGCGCCTGGGATTCAATGGATGCTCAAACTCTGGAGGTCTGAACCCACTGGTGCGGTGGCTGGCGGAATGGGGAAGGGGGGAAACGGGGGATGGGAGAGGGGGAGAAAAGCAGTGGCAAGAACTGAGGGCCAGTTGGGGGGGATGGAGAGGAGAGGAATGGACAAGCGTGGCTCCATGCGGACACTGGGGTGCAGCCATATAATTGGGGGCCCCCTTTCTCTCCGGATTCATCTGTTTCCCGACATCACCCCCAACCTCTGGGTAACGGGCGCGAGTCCCAGTGCCCTCTAGGCTGGTTCTCTGGTATTCCGAAGACCACAGGGCTGGTTTTCCTAAGGCAGGGCTGTCTGGAGCCCTGGGGTCCCAGGCAGCAAAGACGGCGACTCCAGACCTCGTTGGGGGCCCGGAACTGGGTTTAGAGGGGAGGGAATGGGTGTGCACACACCCGCGTGTGCTAAGCTGTCACCACCTCCTCGGAGTCGCATCCTTGGACTTAAATGGGTAAAACGACATACAGGAAATCTGTCCCCCGGCGGCTGAGCTGGCTGTGAGCTCAGCCGAGGAGAGGCAGGGCAGCCAGCCCACATGCTCTCCTTTCTCTCCCTTCTCTCCTGGGCGCCCCATAGGCTAGGGGTCTTCCAGGGGAAGCCTCTCTCACACCTCTTTGTCTGAGGTGGGAGCCGGTGGGGACATCTGTGGCTTGCAGTTGGAGGGTCCCAACTCCTACCTTTCTGAGGTGTATCGTGGTCTTGGAGTCTCTTACAGCATCCAGGAGCAGTGGGGGGCCTCTTGAGCATCCTAACCGGGAAGTTGTTTCATCCACTGATGAAATGGCTCTGGCAAGGGCCATGCACTGGGCGGTTTTAATCAGCATTAATTTCTCTTCTTTCCCAACCATGGGGATCCTTGTTTGGGATCTGCCAGAAGGGCTGGGGAGCCTGGGTTTATAGCTCGTTCGGGAGATGAATCTGGATAGATTGAACGTAAAGAGAGTCACAGAGAGATAAGTACTCCCTTTACTTCCAGAATGTTCTGGTCCTTCTGGAAGGTAGCTTTTGGCCTTACTTGCCCCCGGACACGTTATTAGAGCCCACAGTCATGGGCCTGTCCTGGCCAGGATGCCCCCCCACCCCCAGTGAACAGCACTGGAATCTTCCGGTGTTGTCTCCGTGGAGCGCAGCCAGGCAGGCTTTCATGCGGGTTCCTGTGTCTGGGGTCCTAACCTCGGTCAAGTCTCTTCGTCTGCTTCTTCACCTGCAAAATGAATGATTTGGCCTCAATCAGCATTTCTCAACGTTAAGACCCAACCCATGATTCGACAATCTTCCCATCTCTGGCCTACGGCCCCCTTGTATTTGACCCAGCCCCTGACTGGAGACTTCCTACTCGGGTAACCCCACTTTTGTCCAACTTCCCATTGTATAGTTTGTATCCAAAAGATGATCTTTTTTTTTTTTTTTTTTAACTGATCCTTTATCTTCCACATGGAAAATTCCACAAATTCCACCTTTGCTTTTGCACATTACACCTGTTCCCCAGGCTTCAGCCACATCTCTCTGGCTGGAAATCCCTGAGTGAGACCCTCTCTGGGTTCCAGGCCTCTGGCTCAGGGAAGAGGGTGGAGACTCGGGAATGTCCCCTTTCTGTTTGGCTGTGTGGTCTGTTTTCTGTCCCCAGCAGGGGCTTGTTAACTTGCCACGCCCCTTTCCTTGTCTCCTCCAAAGTTGTGTCTTGGGTGGGCTCAGAGTTCAGTTAAGCCAGGGCTGATGCCTCCAGCACTGGGGGCTAGGCCCCAGGGACGGAGATGAGCCTCCTGCCCCGGAGGAGGGACACTCTAGCATTCCCCCTCCCACAGAAATAATGAAGTTCAGAGCACGTGGTCCGTGCAGCAACAGAGGTAGCACAGGAAGTTGTGAAGACAGGATCAGAGATGAGCAGCACAAGCTTTGGGGCTTGGGGGAGTTCGGGCAGGTCTCCTTGGAAGACGCAGCCTTGAAGGATATGAAGGTGTTAAATCAAGCCAGGAAGAGGGAATTGCGTCAGCAGATCCCTGCACTGCTCTGCCCTTCATCGAGCATCTTCTGTGACAGACGCTTTTATACCCATCTCTCTTATTCTGCCCACCAGCCGTAAGCGGTCCTGGTTCCTCTTTTCTCGGTATGGAAACTGACACTCGGGCAAGTGGCAACTTCAGAGATGGTTCCCTGGGCTTTCCAGAAACATGAAGGATCATTAGAAACCTCCAATTGGCAAAGACCAAATTGCTAGAGCATAGTTTCCCAGCTGTGGCACCATTGACATTTGGGGCTGGGTTATTTTCTGCTGTGGAAGCGGCCCCACGCGATACAGGCTATCAAGTGGCATCCTTGGTCTCTACCCACTAGATGCCAATAATACCCCTCAAGTCGTGACCCCCCAAAACCGTCTCAAGCCACCGCCCTGGGGTGAAATCTGGTTATCGCCCTGGGCCTGCCTTTGCCTCAGTGAGTCTTTGGTGCCTGGTCAGCTCCCAGGGAACTGCGACCAAGGGCAGGCGTGGGGAAGGGCGACCAGCAACTGAATTCTGCCATCTGGTCAGTTCTTAATCTCAAGTCCTGATAGAAAGGAGGCACAGTCGGGAAAGGACCGAGGGGGAGTCAGGCAGCGTGGCCCAAGAATGGACAGCAGAGGAGGAACAGGAGGTGAGCCAGGGCCGTCTTCACTTGCTGGGACAGCCGATGCCATTGTCTTTGTCCTTGTCTTAACGACTGACCTGGATTTCTGCAGGAACGAACTGTTGCTTTTCCTCCGAGATTAGAGGTATTAGATTCTCTTCTCGAAGGCTACTTTGGAGGCGGCCCCAGATCAGTGTGGCCCTCGAAGCTGCGTTATCTTCTCCCATTCGCCTCTTGGCCCCAGCCGCCCATCTGTCCCCAAGCACAGACCGTCTAACTTTTGCTGTCTGTTTGTCCTTCTCTGCTTGTTCCCCGACTGTGACATTGCTGCCTTAACTCCGTGGGAGGAAACAGCACGTTCTGGGGCCGCCCAACCCCTTGTGAACGCTGCCCTCCCCCACCCGTCCCCATCCACCAGCCCTTTGTGTGGCCCAGCAACCCCGACCAACTGTGCCAGGCAGCCCCTGCTCGGCCTCCCTGCGGAGCAAGACAGGCCCTTCTCTCTGCCCTCGTCCGGGACGGGCAGAATAGCAGAACAAAGGGCTCTGTCTGAGCACCGCTGGGTCCCCGACGGGCCCTGTCACTCTACCCCTTTGCAGTTTGGCCCAGAAAGGGCCCCAGAGATTAGGCATGTCTCAGAGACGCAGCCGATGAGTTTGGGCTCTACACATTTCCTCGCCGGGACCTTCCGAGCCCGTGGCTGATGATAAATAAAGTAGTGATTCAAGAGTTCGGCCTGCGGGTTAGTCGGAGCGATGAATAAGCTGTCCAGGTCTGACTCATTCGTTCATACGCTAGCCGTGCCCTCCTTCGGCGGGGTTGCATGTGCGACAGGGGACCTGGCTCCAGGCATGTCCTCTCTGGCCCTGCTGGGTGTGCGGGTTTCCCAGGCCTGCTGTGACAGAGAACCGCAGACCGGGCCGCTCGAGCAACAGATATGCATTGTCTCATGGATCTGGAGCCCAGAAGCCCAAGATCAAGGTGTTGGCACAGTTGATTTCTTCCTTCTGTGCCTGTGTCCTGACCTCCTCAGGACAGGAGTCCTTCTGGGTCAGGCCCACCCTAATAACTTCATTTGGACTTAACCACCTCTTTAAGGACTCTATTTCCAAATACAGTCACATTCTGGAGTGCTGGGGAGTAGGTCTTCAGCGTCATGAATTGGGGCGCCGGCGGGGGGG